TGCAGGCGGCAGTAAACCAGCCCGTCCTTCATGCCGAAGTGGTCGCCGGTGGTCAGCATCTTGGCGCAGGTGGAGCAGGTGAAACAGTTCAGGTGGTAAACCGAGTCCCGGGCGCGCATCACCATCTCCGAAGCCGAGATGCCCAGGTGGCAGCGGGCGCAGCGCTGCACCGAGAACCGCCTGCCATCCAGAGAGAGAAGGGGGGGGGAGAAAGAGAGAGAGAGAGCGCCCTTTGAGGTCTTCACCTGAGCAGGTGCAGAGTTCCTCCACCGCCTTTCTTCGCGGGGAGGGGGGGAGATAAGAAAGGGGAGCGCCCTCCACCACGCGCGGGAAAGGACGCTGCCCCTCGCTCTCTCCCAGCCCGCCCGGGAGCGCCAGGCCTTTCGGGGGGGGGACGCCCCGGACAGGTGAGCTGGCAGGTAAGTCCTAAAGAAGACACCTACGGAGAGTCTCAGCCCTCCAGGTTGTCCCAAAGGTGCTTTTTCAGGAGGCAACTGGACTTTCTTGTTTTTTCTTGGCTTCTCCTCCAAGAAGCTTCCTCAGTTTCCCCCCATGTTTGTGTTGAACCCCCCCCCACAGGTGACCTTGAGGACACAGGTAAACCCCCAAAGGGCTGCAACAACTCTCTAAGTCTAAGAGAAGGCGAAAGGCCAGCTGTCTGCAAGGAGTATAAATCCTTCCCACCGTCCAGTCGGAGCTGAAGAAGCTTCTGGGAGGAGAAGCGAAACGCCTTCAAAGCAAAAACGAGAAAGTCCAGTGGCCTCGCGAAAAAGCACTTTTGGGGTCCTAAAGAAGACCCAGCCGGGGAGTTTCCACCAGCCCCTCGCCCCCACTTGCCCACCCCACCCCATGCCCGCCGCCGGCCAGACCTGCCCCGTCCCTCTTTCCCCTCGCCTTTCCCCCCCCCTCCCCACCGATTCTTACCGATAATAGTCTTCCTTGCAGTAGATGCTGCCGTCTTTGCTAAAACAGGTGAGCTCGGATTCCAGGTTGAGTTTACACTCGCAGCACTTCAGACAACGCATGTGCCACTGCTTGTCCACCGCCAGGAGGTAGTAGCGGTCCGAGATCTTCCCGCCGCAACCGGCGCACAGGGCGGCCCGCTCGTTGCTCACCGACGGCATGGTGTGCTGCGGGGGGGGGGGGGGGGGAA